TTTAGGCCTAATATCTGCAGAATTAGGAAAGTAATGATCTAAAGTAATGCAAGAAATGATGTTAGATTTATAGGGTTAGTGAGTGCCCTTGAAGTCAAGTGCTAATGCTTGACCTCAGCTACTTAAGGCAACCCCGTTCTTCATGGATGGGAAGCTAACCACACTGATGCATTGTTCCTTCCTCCAGAGGTTGATAGCCTGTGCACTAAAAAAAATATTTTACGGTTAGTATTGCTCATAGATTTGTTTTAGATCAATTTTGGTTTCAACATTTTTGTTAATGGATGGAACTATGTTCTATTTGACAAAAACTTGTTTATGGTGGTGTGGAGTGAAGAAGAGACCTTCATTATTCCATAGATACTGCTTTCTTTTGCTCCAGTTTTTTTATTTTTTTGGCTTTGACATACAAATAATAATACTAGAATGTGCAAAAGCAACAACAGAAACTCTTGATGCATCTGCAATGATGGCAATAAACAAAGCAATGTGAGATACATCTGAAATTATGAATATTTAATGTTGATTTCTTCAGAATTAACTGTCTTTTGGGATTTGATTGAACAATTTTACAGGGTTATCAATAAAGCAGACAAGACAATGGAAGAAATCCTGCAGCAATATGAGAACATTAGAGAGATCAAGGAGGCATTGTCATCACCAACTGGAGTAGCAACTGATTATGATGACATACCATTGTTGCAAATTCTTACTTGAAAAGCAAATCTTTCAATTGAAAAAGTTGATAATTAATTCATTGATTTTGATTATTACAATATGAATTGGAAGCTGAACTTGAGGAACTCAAACTATCCAATTTGGAGGAACTGCCGATCATGCAGGCAACCAAAACAGTTGTTTCTCCCAGGAGAAACAAAACCAAAGAAGAAGATCTGGGGGTTTTACAGGCAGAGATGACAGTCTAATAGGTACTTATTATTCATGCCTAAACCTTTAGGATACATATATGGATGGCACTGAGTAAATTGCTTTCTTCCTAATAAATTCTTCAATCTGCTTTATATAATGGGTTAAAGGACAAAAGTGCGAGTGTCATATCTGGTTATTGTTTAGAAAAAAGTTGTAAGTACTTCATCTTAAATTATATTTTCAAATAACAAGTATCTATTACTAATGAATTTGGGATAATCCAAATTTACTCTTTTACTTTTGAAATCAGACGTAGAATGCCTACATTGCAGTTGGTTTGCAGTTTTAACTTTTGAATGATTTAACAAGAATTTGGTGTCCATGTCTTTTGATACTTGAAATCTAGAGTGTCAATTAAAATGAAAATTCTTAATGGTTTTTTTGGTGTTTACTGTTGTTGTAGGCAAATGCAGTGTTTTTGATGGAATAGCTTATCAATACAGATTTTCTAATTTCCTATTTGTCTTTGTTACAGGTTTTCTTCTCCTCTTCCATTATAGAGTTCAGAAAGGAAAGTGCCTGAAGATGAGGAATGGGTGTCTATGGGAGATCTGGCAACACAGGTTTGAGATTGTGCCTTCAATATTTAGCTGTGACTAATGTTTTGATAATATCATAATCATTTTGCATGATTTCATATTTAAATCCCTTACATAATAAAACAGGATTATAAACATATTTCTAGGATTGTTTAGGATTGTTTCCTGCAAATGCCTTAGATTATTCTAAATTGCAAATTGTTTAGGATTGTTTTCCTAAACCAAGGAGGAAAATGGAAGCAGATCGAGCAAATTTGTTTTCTAAATTACAAGGACCACGTACACATTATTTCAAGTGATAATGTGTTTTGCATGTCTCTATTGCAGATTAAATCAGCCTTTGTGGTGACTTTAGCAAATTTATCATATTCTTAATTGCAAGGAGCAAAAGCAGGACAAAAAGAAAAAAAATTGTGGGTATAAATCAAGGAAAAAAGGAAAACCAGGATGTCTTGGTGTTAAAAATGTCAGAATGTCTAATAATAGCGACATGATGAATTTGATGATGATAGAACCCATGCTATGCCCTACATATTTAATGGTTGAGATTGGACGTCCTGACATTTTTAATGTGAGGATGTCCTTATTTCCCTTTTTCTCATAAATCAAAAGGTTTCCAATGATCAATGAATATATCGATTTTTTTGCCAGATAGGAAAGATTTGTTTTTGATTAAAATGGTCTTCTGAACTTTGATTCTCTGAAGGTTTCCTTTCTGTTATTTGTCTAGGTGTTTGTTAATATTTCTCTTTTCTCTCTGATTTTCAGGCTTTAATTCATTAAAATTTTCACTGTGAAGGGAGGGAAGAATGGAAACAAATGAATTGAAGGTCCCAGGTGAGTGAAAATAGTATCCAAGTATTATTATTTTTCCTCTATGAAAAGATTGTAAAAAATGGGGAAGGAGATTGTGCTCTTTTTTTTTGGAATAGGAGGTTCACTTTGATAATGTTTATAATTTTTTCTGATGAAGATTCTACCAATTCTTTTCCTGGAAATTGGTTGAGTTCTCAGGAAGTGGGTAACTTTTTTCCTTGAGTATATGGATGAAACTCTAATGTGGAAACTTCAGTACGTGTACATGCATTTTTAAAATTGCAGATATTGAATTGGATGGAGTGGTAAAGAAAGCGTGACACAGAAAATAGTGTGACAAGAAGAGAAACCACTAATGGAGGAAGTGAA